TCGCTGCCGCCACCACACAAATAAGGAGGCTACGTATTCGTTCAAACACAGGCGGAGATGCTGCAAATCACACCGAAATCACCACCCAAGGCAGCGAACAACAAAAACAAGTCGAAGGAGACTCACGAGACTACGAGTCATTATGGAAGGGGCAAGCTGGAAAAAAAGAGCACATAAGAATGGCGAGCTGCAAGGTGAATTGGCGATTTAGGAAGAAAAGGCCGAGGTCGGCAGAATCGGTGACTGGTACGACAGTCACTGCAAATGGCGCACCGCCCTCACTAGCCGACACGACCGCCGGGATCCAGTTGGGTAAAGGATTCGGGTTCAACCTGAAGATTGCAAAGTCCTGGGGCGTGAGGCCGCAGAAGAAGAAAAAGGATTTGCAGAAGAACGAGTTGAAGAGGAAGATCGTGAGCTCGGGAATCGACCCGCGCTGCGGGGTTGAAATCTCGTCGGAGTCGGAGATGCGGCAGGGAGCGCGAGCGTTGCCGTGCCGGCAGCTGGGCGATTCCTCGCCGTTTTTGCGAGTAGGAGTGACGGCAACGAAGACCAGGGAGGCAGATCCAAGAAGTGGTGCAAAGGAGGCGGGTGGTGCGGTTCTCCTCGAAGCGACGACGAACTGGAAGTGGAAGTTGAAGGCGAGGGCGGATCTGGCAGGGGACTCGCCGCCGGAGATGGATGCGGGAATGGTGTTGTCGAGGAAGGAATCACCGAGGAAGAAGTCGCCTGAGGAGGAAGTGGGGCAGAGCAAGCCGCCGGAAGTGTGGTGGCTTTCGCATCGTCGGCAAGGAGGATGGCTGCCGGGGGAGGATCCGTCGAAGGAGTGGACGGCGGAGGAAACAAAGAGGGATGATGGCTTTCCTCTCTCAAACCCTTGGCTGTGTTTCCCGTTGGGCCGAGTCAAGTGGGTCGTTGGGCTAGATGGGTTCGCTGGAATGGGCCACGTGAAGGGCCCCATTAGTTTGGGTAATTTGCTTGGCTGTAGGATGGAGACTGTTGGGCTCGTCTTGGGCCGAGCAGAGCAACAAGGGAAGAGTCATTTGGGCCATGGTAATGTCTGGGTTAAGTGGGCCGTGAGACAAGGGAAGCAGGCTGAGTCAGCTTCTTGTGACAGGCCGAAGTTGGAAAGGAAATGGGCCGAAAGAGGGTTCAGCTATAGGCCAAACACTAGAAAGTCTAATGGGGTGCAAGTAACAGAGGGGCTTGATTTTCATGGGGTGCTAGTACCTCAAATGGGCCGCCAGATCGAGCCATCTTGGTATGATTCTAAGGAATTAGAAGCTGGCCTTGTTTGGCTGGCGAAATGTCCATTCAAAGAGGACGCGGAGCAGAAAGTAATCATACTTGGGCCCAAAGACATGAAATTCCTAGCTGGTAACCGACACAAAGTGGAAGCTTGGCATCTAAGTCACGGGATGGAAAATTGGAAGAAAAGAAAGCGCAAGAAATGGAGGCAAGACGTGGATTGCACGGTAGGCTTGAAGAAATGGGTCAAATCGGTCAACCTTGAGGGCAAGGTTGGTCTCAAGGGGGATGGGATGTTAGAAACACGTTTTCCTTAAGAAAATGGGTTTCTACCATAATTATCATTATTGTTATTATTAGGTTTTATTAGATATGGTTAGTAGTCTTTCAGCAGAATTAGGTTTAGTATTAGGTTTTTCCCGTCTTTCGTTATAAATATGTACTTTGCGTTTAATTGAGAATCAATCAAGAAAGAATTATCAAATAATCTCCTAAACCCTAATCTCTCTCTATCCTCTCAATTCTCGATCCCTATCCCTCCAAAGCCTCGGCCGATTCTCTATTCTACTCTTCTTCTTCCCCAAATCCCCAATCTCAATCCCTAATTCTATTCGTATAAACCCTAATCCCCAAATATCAAACCCGTTAGAAACTTTGTTTCTAACACTCTTCGAGACAGCACGGGTAATTGGAAGGTCGGCTTTGTAGCCAATATTGGCTCGGCCACTGCTATTCTTGCAGAGCTTTGGGCGGTTTTTTATGGTTTAGAGATGGCTTGGAAGAGTGGCTACCGCGCCATTAGAGTGGAATCTGATTCCCAGCTGGCGGTACAGCTCATCGAGAGCAGACAGGACCTGTCCACCCGCACGCGACTCTGTTAGCTGCGATTCGAAGGAGACTTAGTCAGGATTGGTTGGTTTGCATCACTCATGTATACCGCGAAGGGAATAGAGTCGCGGACTGGCTCTCGAAGCACAGTCTCGTCTATCCCTACGGTATGCATGAGGTTGCGAACCCGCCGTCGGAGCTAGTTCCTCTTCTTAGAGATGATTACATGGGTTTGACTTTTGAGCGACGGATTGTTGATCGATCCTCTCGTCATCCCTCTGCTTCCTCTTATCCTTTGTAACTCTCTTTGTTCTTGACCTTTTAGTCTCCCCTTATGCAAAAAAAAAAAAAAAAAAAAAGTAGAACGGTCAAATTAATTACAATAGTGATCGGCTTATTTATTTGCAAGGGAAATGGAACGAACAATTTTTAATAGTTGGAGTAAGATCATTTGAACTGAATTACTAATTTTTCTACTTCTTTGTCACTTTGATTATTAACTTGAATTTAGTACACATGATTTGAAATTATTTATGGATAGTGATAAATTCAATCCTAAAAATGTGTATTGTATGTCTTTTATATTATAGAACATAAACGATACTATCAATTGTTAATCACTGAATCATAAACTAACTTTTTAGCTACACGTCTGATTCGATTATGCAAACAAAATCATTCTACGAGATAAAAAGGTTAAATTTGGGTGTTTGGTTCAAAATTTTATGATTGAGGGGTTAGTTTGGAAATTGTGATTACTAAAAATGCATTTCTTTCAGAATTCATAGATATGAATAGGTAACTATTTGATAGATAATATTCTTTCAGTAATAAAAGAAGGGATTTTTTTAAAAAAAAAAATTGAACATAACTTAACATAATTTTTTAGAATAAACATAGTTGGGTCCTGATTGATGAAAATTTGTGAGTTTCATTACTCCCAAATCCCAACCAGTAATTTGTGAGTATCATTAAGAACTAGTGTGTGCCCCGGCCAGTTGGCCGAAGGAATGTGAGGTAGGAAATTTGATAATGTAATGGGGTGTATAGCTTATTGTTGTATAATTTTTTTGGGAAACACGTGATAAAAATAGTGAATTTTAGCTGGAAAGAGACATGAATGATGCAATGAATCAAAAATCGGCCTTATGAACCAAAATCAAGTACCTGTTACCTTGTGAAACAATATTGATTCTGGTAATATGATGAGGTGGAGTAAGTTTTATAGAAACCGAATTCCAAAAAATTGAATAAAAATCGCCTATCCCGTCGATTTTCGGGAAATGAGCATCTCACAATCGTTGCTAGCTTTTACTCGGCCCGTTGGTCGATTAATTTGCTTTATAAAACTTTAATCTTGTCGTCATTGTGCTTTCTGGTTTTTGTTAGGCCATGATAAAATCTAAGGAAATCAAGAACGAACAACACGATTTGGGATAGGAACCGTCGTTGTCGTATCCTTAGAAAATGGTGGTCAACACGGACTCACCTGCCAAACTAGTTTGGATTGAGATTTTTATCAGGTATCAGGGAACCATGTGATTATAAATTAGACTTGAGCAAAACGGGCCAAAACTTGAAATTCAGCCTGTTTGACCGACCCATGCCAAATTCTAATTATTCTTTACTTTTAAACTTTCTATTTGAAAATAAAAAATAGTGAAAGAAAAGAGATGACTGCAATTCGCCATTTGCACATCACTTATTCGGGAATAAAACCATAAAAATTCAAAAGGAACTGGAAATGTTTAGGATCGTTTTAATGTTTAAAATAACCAAATAGATCGTTCTGTTTAGTTTTTTACTAACAAATACCAAACGATTCCCTATAAAATACACTATAATTTGATCATTATGATATCAAATAATTATATAATATATATTTGAAATGATAAAAATTGGACTAATTGTGATCGAGGTTAAACCATTGAATAACTTTAAAATACATTATTTGCTCGCCACTAAGATATAAAATAATAGCATAATATATATTATGCCAGAGAAAATAGCTTGTTTTAGAATGATAAACCAATGATGTTCATTTGTTTTACTTGATGGCCAAATCTCGTGTAGGTCAGACCCATTGAACTCTTTTATTTTATGGTTAGCGGTTAGCCCATTAGATACCATGCATTAGTTTATTGTTAAATTTTTTATTTTTAGTAATAAAAAGGAGTATTATTTTTTCCTTTTCATATATATTTTATCACCACGGAGAAATAAAGGCGCTTAAAGAAAAAAAATTGACACTCTTGTACCCGTTTAAATTCGCATGTGTACGGTAAGTTGGCCCGTTCCATAGAGGAAAAAGAAAAAAATGGACACTCCCTATTCTACCCTTCCTACAAACGCTCCTGGAGCAGAGAATTTGAAATGAGGGAATGGTTTTTTCCTCCCTGCTATTATATGCTTTTAATTTAAAAATATAAAACAAAAGTGCTTAGTGTGATTGGTTATGATCATTGTTTTCCTTTGAAATGGTCATGGTTCAAATCCCAGTACATGTCTTTTTAATGAATAAAAAAAAGTAATTGTGAAGACCAAAATATCCTTCCTACTTTCACTCTCGTTGCAGGAAATTTGAAATGAGGCTCCCGTTTTTCCCTTCGGTGTATTATATTATGTGTAGACTCATAAACATAGTTGGGTCCTGATTGATGAAAATTCATGCAGTTGTGGGCTACCATGGCCCACCTAGAAGTCACGGCTTAAGCCCATAAGCCCACAACACAGACCGTTCGTTGCACAGCTCTAGCCTAGCTTCAGCCGGAGCTCCAATCTCGCCGCCGCTGGGAAACTTTCCCAGAAGAATTACAGTACAGTACAGTACAGAGTTTCTGCTAGTTTCCGCCGTTTTGAGTTTCATTCATCTATCGAGCCGTAACAAGGTTCCGTTTTGCTTACCTCCGGCAATGGAATGAGAAGAAGAAGAACACGGTAAAATTAGGATTCCTCGATTCGATCCCTGGTTCGTCACAACATGGATTCCCGCTGTTTCATCACCGAATTCTGCTCGAATCCCATTTTCCCACCACCAGTTCCAAAAACCCTCAATAAACCCTTCCTCGCTCTACCTTGTCGTTGGTCTGATCGAGCCCACCGCTGCCTCTCCTTCGAGGGCACCCGATTTTCAGCTTCACCGGAGACTGCGAAGAATAGGCGGTTCCCAAAGTTGGAATGCGTTAACACTAGGGCGAGTCAGGAAATAATCAAGGATGCTGGCGACGAAAAGATGAAGAAGAAACCTGGGGTTGCTAAGAAAAAGCTAGCTGTTTTTGTCTCTGGTGGAGGGTCCAACTTCAAATCGATTCATGAAGCTTGTCATGAGGGATCCGTTCATGGCGACGTTATTGCTTTGGTCACCAACAAAACTGGTACACAGTCTCTCTCCCTCTTCTGCTCTTGATGAATGCTACTCCGTTTGCTCTTGACTCAATGGAAAGCGTTCTTAGGCTTCTTAGCTTGTTTTTGGGGTTGATTAGCAATCTACTACAGAATGTCAGTTACTAAAGTTCCATGCTTGCCATTCATCTCAACCAAAAAAAAAAAAAAAAACCCGTCGCCACCTGAAAGGCTGAAATCATTGACATGCTTGAATTTGTCTGCCAACTTTGTCAGACTGTGGAGGCGCTGAGTATGCAAGAAATAAAGGCATCCCAGTTCTTCAGTTCCCTAAAACAAAAGATGGTGCTGATGGACTATCCCCAACTGACCTCGTGGCTGCTCTCAGGTTCCCTACTTGGCTGAAAGAACTTGGAATTTTGGGGGTTTTTTTCTATGGGGGAATGCACTGTGATATTCACACTTGATATTGTTGTCCCAATCAGGAATTCTGAAGTTGAGTTTGTGCTCTTAGCTGGGTTTCTAAAGCTTATACCTGCTGAGTTGATCAGGGCTTATCCTCGAGCCATGCTAAATATCCATCCATCTCTTCTTCCCGCTTTTGGAGGAAAGGGGTATTATGGGATGAAGGTGCATAAAGCGGTCATAAGCTCTGGCGCGAGGTATTCTTTAATCAGCTCATATGTTCATGAGATGCTTGCACGGAATTTCCTGGTCTGTCTCTGAAATTCCAGTGTCTGTATTCAATAGATAGTAACAATGTCCTGATCCCTCAGTTTTCTCCCCCATCTCAATTTGCCTATTAGGTACTCGGGGCCAACAATTCACTTTGTCGATGAGCACTATGACACTGGGCGTATCCTCGCACAGAGGGTCGTCCCAGTTCTGTCAACTGATAGTCCAGAAGACCTTGCTGCCAGAGTCCTGAAAGAGGTATGACACATACGATATCTCTTGACTCCATTAGATTCTTCATATGGATTCTAAAGCAGCCCTTTTCAATCGTTTCTATTGGGAACTAAGAGGGATCATCACGAATTGCGTACATTCTTCATGTTTGTGGGTGTTTTAGGAGCATAAGCTATACAAAGAAGTGATAGCAGCGTTATGCGAGGAAAGGATTGCGTGGAGGGAAGATGGCGTTCCTCTCATTCAAAGTAGACAAGACCCCAACCTTTTCTGCTAACCTGGAAAACATGATTTTACATTAATCTAGTTCATCAAACCCACATCTTCCATTTTACTTTTGGGCGCAAATCAATTCACTTGTCCTTTTACTGTTGTGTTATTCAACCAAGATTCCTTGTTAGTATATTGTGCTCTTATACGTTCTGCCATGACCAAAATATAGTTAAAATGGGATTACAATTTACAAGAGCTCATTCAGGCTTACATGAAGTTGTGAGTTGTGCCTTGTCAAATGCAGCACAATTTGGTTTTCAGAATGAGATGTTGCAGATTACACAACCCTTCGGATAGCCAGATTGCCAACAGAGAAGCCTTTCTCATACTGATATTGGAACCGGAGGACACTCTACTTGCTAAACACTGAGATAGCCATGGTAAAATCAATGTAACTTGAATCCTGGTCTTTTATAGTTTGGAGCTGAATTTTTGAAAGTTGATCATAGATTCCTTGACGGGTTTTACAGGCATTTAACTGATTTGATGATAGTTGATCATACAATCCAGCAAGCATAAATTACCATAACAAAGGTTGCAAGAGGGAAGCAGAAAAGAAAATACTTGAATTGCAGATTCCCATACTGTATTATAACATGAGATTGCCCTAAATCCCAAACAGCAAACAGATAATGTTCAGCCCCACCAAAACACACAGATATAGTACACGTTTCTCACTTCATCTCTTCCTCACAAAAACAGAGTCATTCCAGCACCATTAATAACAAACACCAATACACTTCCTCATCCTGCTGGCTTGGAAGAGAAGCAATCCATTCTCACCACCCGCATTGACAAACCATAACAGGTTTCTTTATATCAGGTCAGCAACATTCATCGGCATTTCGTCAATCTGTGTGCTGTAGTATTGCTCTATATCTCTTAAAATCCTGATATCATCCGACTTCACGAAATTGATGGCCACACCCTGCAATTAACCCCATGCCATAGCGTCAGTCCACAATCGACTACGCAAGCCCTTCTACTTGGGCTGAAAATGAGAACGCAAAAAAAAAAACAAAAAAAAAAACTCTTGTTGAACACATACCTTGCGTCCAAAACGTCCAGACCGACCAATTCGATGAATGTAAAGCTCACGGTTGTTTGGCAGGTCATAATTAATCACAAGAGACACCTGTAGAGTTGGTCAAGACAACATCACTGAGAGAATGAAAAAGATAAGTTCATAACAATGGACCTCAGTGTCCCGACGCTAGAAGCACAAAGGAAATTTGTCACGAAAATAAAATTGATGCAAAAAAAAAAGAAAAAAAAAAAAGACATGAAGAAAGAAACTTGCCTGCTGAACATCTAATCCACGGGCCCAAACATCGGTCGTGATGAGAACACGTGTAGTACCATCCCTGAACTCTTTCATAATTGCATCTCTCTCTTTCTGAGGCATGTCACCATGCATAGATGAAACTGTGAAGTTGCTGGAGCGCATCTTTTCAGTCAACCAATCAACCTGTTACAGATACCTCAATCATTTTTACACGCACAAAGCAAACTAGATTCGTACCTATTTAAGCAATGAATTACACCATAAATGCCATCCTAATCTATAAACTACAGAGGGAAGGGAAATGCAACAAAATCAAGTTTGTAAATGAAGTTTTGTAACCCAAATCTACTTGGACACCACCGTTAAATTCCAAGTTTACATCTATTCAGCAGTAACTTTATGGCCATTAAGATAATATATTATTAGAAACATATCAGGGGGAAACTCTACTTGAAACATCCGTACATAGTCATCTCCAAACTCATTGCAAACATAGAAAAAAACCAATCTCCAGAGTAATGATAGGTCCAAAAACACTTGAAGGAACATATTTGGGATGTCGAACTCAAGCACAAACCAATAGCCTTATAACTTGATTTCATGAGCAACTTACCTTCCGCTTTGTATTACAGAAAATAACAGCTTGAGTGATGGTAAGTGTATCATAAAGGTCACATAGAGTATCAAATTTCCACTCTTCCTTCTCCACGGCAACAAAGAACTGTTTGATACCCTGTCATAACAGAAATGGAAAAATGGAAGAAAAAAAAATCACGATCTCAATTCAATCTCTGAGTTATCACTACTCTATAATGTCATTACATACCTCCAAAGTCAATTCATCACGTTTTACAAGTATCTTCACGGGATCAGTCATGAATTTGCCAGTCATCTCCAAAATTTCATTTGGCAGTGTGGCTGAGATCAGGCAAACCTAAGAATATTGGATAAAATATCTCAGAAAAGTAAGAAGAAAGAGAACGGAATACCACAATAACATATTGAAGCACAAACAGGTTATCCGGAACGATACAGAATGAAAGAGATCGAAATATCTCAATAACGTAATTGACATCCATAAACATAAATAGGAAAATTTGTGCAAATGGCATCGAGAAGGAACCTGAAGTTCTGGTGGAAGATATCTGTAAACATCATATATTTGATCCTTGAAACCTCTGCTCAACATCTCATCTGATTCATCAAGGACTAATAGTTTAATGGCTCTTGTGCGCAAAGTCCTTCTCTTGATCATGTCACATACTCTTCCTGGTGTTCCGGATACAACATGAACTCCATGCTCTAGCTTTCTAATATCTTCACCCACACTTTTGCCACCAATGCATGCATGTGCTTGAATGTTCAAGTATTGACCGATTGCTAGGATAACTTTCTCTGTTTGTGAAGCCAGCTCCCTTGTAGGAGACAATACCAATGCCTGCACCCTGCCAGATACAAGCGAACCAAGTCAGTTACGCAAAGCACCCGGGATATTCACATCAAACCAGAAACACGGAATTCGCAGCAGGCACTGTTGCTTGGACTGGAAATAAATACTAAACAATGTTTCAGACAATGACTCTCAGTATCTCCAGCGCACAGAAATTTGCTATTAATGAAGGAAAGTAGAATAAGTGTCTGCCTTCAGGGTAACAAATATGGACTCTCCTATCCTTAACGAAATTTGGACTCGCCCAGCATCAATGAACCCTCTCCTGCATGCTTTTTCTTCACCAGAAATCCTAAAGTACAATTCATAAACCGCCCCTAACCCTACAATTAGCTCAGCACAAGCTAATTAGGAATCTCTTCTTAAAAGTGTTTAGCTCGTCAATCTTTAAGTCTCTGAAGCGTCAGTTCCAAGTCGCAAGAAAATCAACACAGAACAAGCAAAGCATTCAAGTTCTCTTAAAAAAACAAGGGCAGTCCATGAAAAACAATTCTTCAAGAAACGGAAGCAGACATAGAAATTAGGGTTTGCAAGGGGAAAAAGCTTACTCTTTGCTGTTGATATCAACGACCTGGCAAACAGTGAGGGCAATCATGGAGGTTTTCCCGGTACCGGATTGTGCCTGGGCAATGACGTCGCGGCCTTTAATTATCGGCATAACGGCTCGCTGCTGAATGGCGGAGGGCTTCTCGAACCCGTACTCGTAGATTCCACGGAGCAGGCTGTCATTAATTCCCATGTTTTCGAAGCTGGCAACCGGTTCGATCCCCTCCGTCGTCTCGAAGACGAGCCTCTCATCGTCGGTAGTCGCCCTACGGGCTCCCCGTCCCGGTGGAACTACGCTCGCCGCCATGGATGTTTTGGTGGGAAAAAAAGTTTTCTTCGTTCGCTGTCTTTGGGAGGAAACCTTTGTTTTACGATTTCAGCCGAGTTTCGCAAATTTTATAGAGGGAAAGCTCCCACTTTGGCTTCGGCTTATATATGGGCCGCTTAAAACCGAAGAAAGCAGGCTGATGTTCGAGGTCCAAACTCCTAATCCCATTCGTTAACTTATTTCAATTGGGCCGAAGGGCCCCAATGCTTGTTGACAATGTGGCAGCCTCCAGTTGAGGCCTTGGATCATTCTGATGGCTGGATGATGTGGTAACATTTCCATCTGTAGGGTTGTGTCAAAACTCAAAACAACACGATAAAATAATTGCATAATGCAAGGGATAGGACTTGTGCCCTGGAGGAGAATTACCGAATTAGACCTATTTTTGGTAACAATGTTGTTTTAGTCATATATAGTCATATAGAAGTTTTCGGAAAAAATCCCAAAATACCCTACCTATTAAAAAAAATTCCTCAAATACAATACTTATAAAAAATTTTCCCAAAATACAGCAGTTTCAGCATCACTGTCTTTGTCCAAGACAGTGATGGTATTCACCGTTTTGGTCAAAAACGGTGATAGTATCACCGCTTTAAACAACAACAGTGATGCTATCACCGTTTTTGTCCAAAACGGTGAAGCTATCATCGCCCTAAACAAACGCGGTGATAGCTTGACCGTTGATAAGAAAAACGGTGAAGCTTTATCACCGTTGATATTTAAAACGGTGAAGTTGGCGCGGATCGCTGACGTGGCGAGGAGCGGGGACTTCACCGCGTAAGACAAAAGCGGTGATAGCCCCGCCCCGCCACGTCAGCGATCCGCGCCATCCGCGCCCTTCACCGCTGTCGTTCGATGCGGTGAGGCGCGGATTGTGGTTTTTCTCCACGATCCGACGCCTCACGCCTCGCCACGTCAGCCATCCGCGCATCACCGCGTTTGACTAACGCGGTGTTGTCACTGCGGCCGATGGAAGCGGTGATTGGCCGCCATAAATTTCCAGCATCCCCTTCCCCTCCCTTCCCCCCTATAAATACCACTCCCCCCCCCCCCCTCATTCCAAACCACACCACCAAATTTTATACTTCTTTCTCCCTCCAACTTCACTCTAGTTTCGTTCTAAGTATGCTCTGTGGTTGCGGCTAAGTCCGATCTTCCGCATCAGAAAGAATTACTAGAGTTTTTGTTTTGTTGTTTTGTCGATACTCTCGCTAGCTTTTCGGCAAAAAATGGACGAAGAGACTTTGAGAGTACGTAAATTTGGTTGGTTCTTTTGTGATTTTTTTTTACATGGGTGCTAAAATTTAAATTGATTTGATTTCATATTTTTTTATAGATGGGTGCTGAGATATACGACCCTAGATTGTATATCGATCCTGGCCCAAGGGATCGAAGGTATTTAACCGGGCAAGATCAACATCGCTCTCGTTCAATTTGGAACAATAATCCGGTAGACACACTAAAATTATTTCAATAGTTTTAAAGTTTTTATTTTGCTTTCTAAGTTTTTTTTTTGCTTTCTATTGACTGACAATATTGTGTTTTTTGTTTTGTAGGAATCACTTATTCCCATCAGTCATCGAGGGACATGTCGATTGCCCCGTTGGCATCCTCGACTGCATCCCTATCTAGAGAGGGCGGGATTGCACAATTTGAGGCACTTTATGAGGCTTGATATTGACAACGATCTGCTGACGGCAATGGCAGAGCGATGGCGCCCTGAGCTGCATACCTTCCACTTTCCCGAGGGTGAAATGACGATCACCCTCAAAGATGTTGCCATCCTCACCGGGCTCCCGATCACCGGAGATGCCATCATCGACAACTCGAGAAAACCAGAAGATGGTTGGGGGCCATTGATTCAGGAACGTCTGGGGTTCAACATGCCGACCACCACGCCCGTCGAAGGTCAGGGGCATCCACCACTGAATGCGGGGCAAGTATCGATCCCGTGGCTTGTTGACCACATCCAGATGGAGGTTAATATAGGCCCGGATACTCCTGAAGATCAGGTGGAGCGGTACGCACGTGTCTACCTAATTGCCTTGGTTGGTGGGTTTCTGTTCCCCGACAAGTCAAACCGGTGGATACAAGGCATGTGGTTAAATATGCTCCTCAGTGACTGGGACGAGATCGGGCAAAAAAGCTGGGGGTCGGCCGTCTTGGCTGGGATCTACCGCGAGTTGTGTACTTGCTCGAAGTTGGGAGCGAAACAAGCTGGTGGTGCGATGTTCATACTCCAGCTCTGGGCATGGGAGCATCTTCCGTTTCTCGCACCTCGAGACCCTCGGGAATTCTGGTTGCCAGATGATGAGCTACGATTTGTAGCAAATCCCCCATATGGTTTCAAGTAAGTTCAATTTAAGTTGAATTTATTTTAGATATGCAATGGTAGCTAGTTAGGTGAATTTAGATTTTAGTGAACTTAGTGAACTTAGTATGCAATTTTAAGTATGCAATTATAGTATTTTAGTGAACTTAGCTATCTTCCAACTAAGCGGATTTAGAGACATTTTAGGTCTGCAATTCTAGTATTTTAGTGAATTTAGATATCTTCCAAGTAAGTGAATTTGGATTTATTCTAACCAAATCGCATTTAGCTAATTTAAAAATTGCTTATATATGTACTTTTGCTTAATTAGGTGGATCGGAGCAAATACAAACGACCACCAGCCCGAGCACTCTTTACTGTTTTATCGTGCTGAATTTGATAAGCCTTGGTGGAACCAGGTAAAAATATTGAATGTCATGATTTTCAATTTATTAGGTGGAGTGATATAATTTTTACTAATTCCATGAATTTTAATGATTGTAGGCGGTATGGGATCCATATCCAAATGAAGTGGTTGAGTTGCATCGTCTTAGACATCCCGAGGATCAAGAGACATGGTTGTGCAAGGTGCCCTTAATCTGCTGGCACATGGTGGAGTGGCACCTGCCCGATCGATCTTTGAGGCAATATCGATTGGAGCAACCAATTCCAGCATCCCCACCTCAAGGGTTCAGGGAGCTCCACGCCATTGACCTACGCTACAACAAAAAGGATTGGACCCGCAAGCATGAATTCTACATCAACATATGGGAGAATAGAAATCAGTGGGTGGTCCAAGGGGCGCCGGAGACAAGGCCAATGGGGTACCACGATGGCTACATGCGGTGGTATCGGAACTTCACGCTAAGATGGGTGTCAAAGCAAGGTGCTGTTTGGGGCGCAGTGGTAAGTGAATTCCATTTTGGCCTATTTTAGTTAATTTTTGTAGTATAATTACATGCCTATATTAGCTAGAATGTTAATTAACATTATTAGATTTAATGAATGTTAATTTTTGGAGTATGATTACATGCCTATATTAGCTAGAATGTTAATTATCTATATTAGATTTAATGTTAGTTAATTTTTGGAGTATGATTACATGCCTATATTAGCTAGAATGTTAATTAACATTATTAGATTTAATGTTAGTTAATTTTTGTAGTATGATTACATGCCTATATTAGATGATAGAAATCATTGTTAGATTTACTATTAGTTAATTTTGTACAACAATTTATTAGGTTGACGGTTTGGAGCATGCGAAGCACACCGTCGAGAGTGCACCCACCATGGATGAGCGGAAGACATCTTTTTTGCGCAGGCTTTTCAAAAACTTGCTCTGTTGTACCAGAGAGCAAAGGAGGGATGTCATATTATACCCTCCAGTGCCTGCTCCGGCCCGACCTTCATTCCGTGCTGATGAGAGGATTGTGCCCCCACAAGAGCCCCCACGGAGGAGCAGAAGAAGGGTGAGAGAACACATTGAAGAGCTTCGTCCGTCTCAGCAAACTCAACTTCCTCAACCATGGCCACATTGTGAGTGGGCTACTAGTACTGAGGGAACCGGAGGGTCGTCAAGCTATGCCCCGACTCAGGAGCATGACATGTTCACCCAAGCCACCCCTCAGTTCCACCATCAGCAACAAACTACTCAGTATCAGACCCCGCAACAACAACATACATCATCGACTTTCTACCACGCTTCTGGTCCACCTCAGCAACCTCCCCCCCCACCTGTCTACACTCCGGTGGGTGGTCGGGTTAAGAGGAATCCGCGCGCAGTTGTCCAGCGGGCTCGTGAAGAAGGAGGAGGAGGTAGAGAGGGAGGAAGAAGGGGCCGAGGAGGTCGTGGAGGAAGAGGAAGAGGAAGAGAAGGGGAAGTGGAGGGAAATGAAGACAACCAGTGAACTATCTATGTCGTTCTAATTTAGTTTCATCTTTTTTTGTTTTCCATGAACTATCCATGTCGTCTAAATTTGGTTTGGGTCTTGTGTTGTTTTCCATGAACTATCTATGTTTCTAAATTTGGCAATCGGATTGTGTTGTTTTCCATTAACTATCTATGTCGGCTAAATTTGGTTGGTTTTTACCCCCATGTTGTAACAAAATGAACAACAAACGCCCTTTATTACAATCACTCAACAAGATTAAAACAAGAAGTCCAAATTAAACATCACAACAAAGAAAACTACTCAACAAGATTAAAACAAGGAAGTGAACAACAACAACATCAAGGTTGGTTCGGAATTGGCGCCGAATCTTGCTCTAGAGGTGGACCTGGGCAACGCCTCTTGTCATGACCCGGTTGTCTGCACTTTGAGCAACGCTTTGGACCCCGTCGGGCACGTTGTGATTGGTCCATTTCATTGTGAATCCTTTCGGTCCTAGGACGACCTTTGGTGCGCTTTAAGTGTAACGGTGGGATAATCAACTTCCCATTGTCTACAGGCCAATAAGCTTCATCCGGCAGGGGGCTAAAACTTGACGAGTAGGAGTTCCTGATCGCCTGTTCCGTGTAGTAAGGACTAACCAAACTGTAAGCGCTGAGGGTTATCGACTTAGCTACTGCCATTGCATGTGAACAAGGTACTCTTCTGTTTTGATACTTTTGGCATGTACACTCTCCGGTGCGAGTTTCTACGTGTAGAGTAACGGATTGACGATTATGCCCACGTCTTCCTCCACCCCAGATACCTGTTTGCACAGCAAAAATACCTTCATTGCGGTTGAACAGAACAACTCTGTGCTTACTTGATTTCTCTTCAATCTTCTGCATGCCATCAAATATATGCTTAGCTATTGAATGACCAGCACGCTCCCTCCCTATAGCAGCATCCCGTCTCTTCACAAACCACTCGTTTACCTTCCAATATGTCATCTCCACTAGGACAGATACAGGCATTGCCCTAATGCCCTTGTAGACTCCATTTATGCTCTCCCCATGGTTGGTAGTTGCAATTCCGAATCTAGCCCCGTTGTCCATGTGAAATGTCCACATGTGCAGATCTTGACCTTCTGCCCATACTGCTCCCGCCCGGTGTATTTGACGGATCGTCTTCATCTTCTGCTCGTACTTTTTTGGTTGATGTGCAACCGCTACAAGACCGGAGAATTAATAATTAATCCATAAGAAATTTCATTTGAACAATAAACCATGAACAAGCACTGAATTACATTATTACCTGCACTCCACAATTGATCTCTTATGTCTTTCTTCTTGCCAAATTTGTGTTGGAAATTGGCTAGGAAGTGACGAATACACCAACGCCATGTCCATCCCCATTCGTCCGGGAAACCACGGACGGCGTGTTTAATCCCGGCATGTCGATCCGATATAATTGTAATACCCATTCTTTGTGTGACGTGGGCGTGTAGCTGGTCAAAGAACCATGCCCAACTTAGGTTGTTCTCCCCTTCAACTAATGCAAATGCTAAGGGAAAAATACTTAAATTTCCATCAACCCCAGTGGCAATAAGAAGAGTTCCTTTATACTTCCCAGTAAGGAAAGTTCCATCAACCTGTTAAAATGAATAATGAGTTAATAAAAATTGAAATTAGTAAAGTAATGAAATAGTACAATATTTTGAGTCCGTAATATACCTGAATCACTGGCATGCAGAAGGGAAACCCGTCAATGCATGGCTTGAATGTCCAGAACAGACGATGAAACATCAACTCGTTCTGTACTCGAGTTCCATCTTCAGTTTCTACGTTGTTGTACCAAGGCACGAAAACCGTCCCAGGGTTGGACTCCTCCATTGCGGACATTAGTCTGGGGAGTAAAGCATACGAGTCATCCCAATCACCGTAGACATCAGCCATGGCCTTCTGCTTCCCATGCCACGCCTTCTTATACCTTATGGTGTAGGAGTGTCGATCCTTCACCTCCGCCATGATAGCTTTTATCTTGATATCTGGTTGTGCCTCGATAAGGTGCTTAATGGTTCTTGCCACTTTTTTTGCTTTCAGTTGCCGGTGATCCTGTGAAAGTATGGTTGAGGAGCAACTGTGGTTGTTCTCTACTGTCCGCATGACCCAGACCCCCTTTCTCTTCATATATGCAGCACGAAGTTGCCACATACAACCCTCTCCAGCATTCTTACAAATGACATGCAGTTGTCCCTTGTCAGAATATTTTACCTTCCATTCGAAATTACGCCGCATGGCTTCTTCGCTAAAAGCGTCTTGCACATCGGCTTTCGAAGTGAACGCCATACCCACTTCCAAATTAGCAGTCGGATTATACACAGGCATGGGCCGAAAGTCAGGGGCATCGTTCTGACCATATAAAAATTGATCAGGAACCTCTGTGTAGTAAGGCGTTGGTGCCTGTCGGAACGCCACCTCACTGTCATCGATATCGTCGTTATCGTCCGTATCTTCCTCCTCACTGACTGATCTCAAATCTTCCTCACTTTCATCGTCACTGGAGGCGAATGGATAGCTCGGCGAAGGATGGTCATCGTTAGCAGCATAACCAGCATCGCCTTCTTGGTCATGCGAAGTACGCCCAGTTCGAAGGGTGTTTTCAATGTCACCCCACTCTGGACCCCAAGCAGGCCATTGATCACCGTCGGGCTGAACGATATCGACGGCAGTCTCACCACCATGTGGCAGGTATTCTTCCCACCCAACACCTCCTTCAGAACTACCTCCTCCGTAGTTGCTTGAAGTACCTCCCCAAC